TAACACGCATGCATACACACACACACACACACATTCCTGTAATACTGCCGCAGTACTTTCAACTCATTTTTACACACAAATACAGACACTGAAGTACTCCACTCCAATATAAATGGACAGAAGTAGAGTCACTGAACCCCTTGTCCTATTTGCATTATCTTTTTTTCAGAGGAGGACAAAAACTTTGGATCTATTTCCGTACATGCTGGGTGACATTACGTTTACATTTTTTTTTTTATGTGTGCATATTTTATGAAATAAGAATTTTATTTGCATAGACAACACTGATGCTGCCTGGTCGAAGCGATCAGAACGAAGTGATCACGTTCTGTATCCAATTAGCAAGCTTTAGACACAGTTTAATCGCTTACTAGGGTTGCATTGGCAGGGTGCCCTAAATTTCAAAAAACAAATTAATGACACATTTTCTTGTCTACCGTTGATATTTCCACAGGGCAGGATGTACTTATTGTTTAAAATTGAAAAGTTTCTGCTAAAAGTTCTGCCAAAATTTCATTATCGTTCAGAAGATTTGTTTTAATTTGCAATTCAAATACATTAATGACAAAAAAAAAAAAAAATTCCACCGGAATTGATCTATGTAAAATGACTGCATGCTCCATTAGCTGTTACTTTGTTTTTACAGTAATTCCATTAGCTTTGAAGGAAAGACGTGTTTAGGGCTTGACGGATCCCGGCTGGACTCCAATCTCATTTGTAGTTTTGTCCTTAATTACTTCAGAGTTATTCAATTAGACCAGTCTTTTTCGGTGAGAAAGAACAACAAGGATAAAGAAGTCGTTTAAAGATATCAAGAACCGTTTGGGGATTGTGCCTCATTTGACTCAGACCAAATTCAACTAGCCTATATCAGATTGTTCAGCGCGCTTTGTATATAAACCAGATTTGTTGTTTGGTGTTTCTGACTGAGATTGAAGCTTGGGATACGGTGTCATACAGGGATTTAATTGGAATGTAGCTTTAAGAAGACTGGCTGCACTTTTACAATATGTTTCTGAAAGGACAAGGCTAAACTTAACGCTTAATCCTGTATATCTAAACAGCTTAGATCTGTCAACTCCACCATCATCAGTCTTTTCAGCAGTTCATCTTCACACATGCAATTATCAGTTAACTGTGTTTATGACAGATTTCATACTCCGTGATTAGTCCAGTACCTAGAATAACATAAATAACGTTTTCTAATGAAAGGGTGAAACATGTATACTCTTAAAAATAAAGGTTCAAAGGGTTTTTCAGCCTGGTGTCATAAAATAACACTTAGGTAATTGGTAGCTTTTTAGAAAAACATGAATCTCATAAAAAATTTGTCCAGGTCACATTTCACCCAAAAATCAAATGTAAATAGGAATTTTTATAAAGAAAATTATGCTTATATTTTGTAAAATTGCAGAACAATTATGCACATTTTGCCTGCAAATTCTCATTACCGTAATTACCGTGCAATTACTGATTATTACGGACTGATTTTGATTATTCTTGTTACTGCAATATAGTATTTTTTTTTATTTAAATCTGCATAAATTAAAGGTGGTACAAATCATGCACAATGTATAAATAGTTGAAATAATAAATCTTTTTTTCTTTGCCTTACTGTAATGCGAATGAGTGCAATGAAAAAAACTCTTATTTGTTTTAAAAAGACATCACTCCATGTAAAAAATCTATTTTTTATGTCTTTCATTTGATTAATTACCCAGACATGTTCTTGACTGGTTTTGTAAAATTTAATGTTACGTACTGGTGCTTTATAAGCCAGAAACCAATACGTTGATCTGAATAATCAAGAATTTTATTTGATCACCAAAGAACCATTTAGCTACCGAAGAACCCTGTACAGCAGAAAATGGTTCTTAAAGGGACAGTTCACCTAAAAAATGTAAATTCTGTCATTAATCACATAAATTAATCACATAAATCACCCTCATGTCGTTACAAAGTAAGATTTTCGTTCATTTTTGGAACACAAATGATGATATTTTTGATGAAATCTTGAGAGCTTTCTGTCCCTCCAGTGACAGCTACTCAACTGACACTTTGACGGTTCAAAAAGTTCATAAAGAGATTGTAAAACTAAGCCATATGAATTGAGCGGTTTAGTCCAAATTTTCTGAAGAGACTCGAGCGCTTTATATGATGAACAGATTGAATTTAGGCTGTTATTCACATATTAACATTGATCAGCGAACATAAACAGAAGCTCAAATGTGCTTCGTAACACGAGAATGAACCTCATTGGTTCTCGCACGTCAAGCGAACATTGTTGAGCTTCCGTTTACCACAACTGATGTTTGCGTTGATGAATATTTATGCGTGAATAAAAGCCTAAATGAAATCTTTTCATCATATAAAGTAGGGCTGGGTAAAAAATATCGATTTCTCAATATTTATCGATTCTCATTTTTATGAACCGATATCGATTATTAAATCTTAAGAATCAATTAGTCATCCTGTTTTCAGTTGATGGATGAATGGAACATTGTAGCGCGCATCCCATCCAATAAATCGCAATAATCTTTCTGCTTTGTTACTATTGATACTAAATAAAGTCTCAAATTTCAAATTACGTCCATTTTCTTATGAAATTCAAAAACATAAATACCGTTTTGGCGCTGTGGCGTGAGATCGCTCTGGCTCAGCTCAGCTCAGGAGAAGCACATGATCTCGTCTTCTGCCTTAATAATACCAGTTACAGCGCGAAATAAACATGAATGAACGTCTGAAAGTGTGTTAAAAGATAGAGTACAACTTATCGAAATCCGTATCATGTCACATGGAATCGCTCAATCAGTGTTTCAACCGTGGAAAGACGTCAGTAAAACAACTTGTAAACAATGTCATGTAACGTCACATTTATCTCAGAAAAACCATATCCAGTGACCATAAACTCGTTAGTCAGCTAGAAAAATTAACTCTAAAGAGGAGCATTTTGCTAAATATATGCACCATATTACATATTCATTATAATTTTTAATGTTCTTCAATATTTAATGCATGTTTGAATAAATCTGGCAAGTTTTTATGACAGCCACCATTTAAATGTTTATATTTAATATAACTTTATTATTATAAAAATAAATAAAAGTGTAATTTAAGTGTTTGTATAGCTACAAATCAGTTAATTTTTACCTTCGATATTATAGTAGGCTAATGGAGCCTATAGGCTATACAACTGACTCCCATAGTTTACAGCATTAGTTAAGAGATTTGTTTTCCTTGAGAAAATTTGCCATGTATTGTACCTGATATCCAAAATAATCAATATTGAATCGAATCCGAATCGAATTGTGAAATTTGTGTCAATACCCAGCCCTAATAAGTAATAATTCAAGTTTTAATTGTAAACATCTTCAGAGTAGTACCGCATTTCACAACCCACATTATATTTCCTTGAGAAAATTAGCCATTTTGCTCTTGGAAATGAGATGTTGCATCTCAAGAGACTATCCTTGAATAAATAAATGTATTGTACCTGATATCCAAAATAACCAATATTGAATCTAATCAAATCGGAATCGAATCGAATTGCAAGCTTGTGAATCGATATCGAATCGAATTGTGAAATTTGTGTCAATATCCAGCCCTAATATAAAGCGATTGTGTCTCATCAGAAAATTTGGACTAAACCGCTGAATTCATGTGGATTAGTTTTACGATCTCTTTATGAACTTTTTGAAGCGTCAAAGTGTCAGTTGCGTAGCTGTCAATGGAGGGACAGAAATCTCTCAGATTTCATCAAAAAGATCTTAATTTGTGTTTCTGAAGATGAACGAAAGTCTTACGGGTTTGGAACGACATGAGGGTGAGTAATTAATTTTCCAATTTCATTTTTGGGTGAACTGTCCCTTTAAGAGGACAGATCTTTGTTTAATGTAAAGTGCTACAAAGAATCATTGAGGAACCTTTTTTTAAGAGTTAAATGTTCCATCTGTATAAATAAAGGTTACAATTACTTATATAATAAATGTATACGTTTGCTGTTGAAAAAGTCTAAATCTGGAATTACTTTCCAAAAGACAATGTATCTCGAGTTGATCATTGTCTAGAAGAATGTAAACATGAACATGTTCATGAGAAAAATGAACTTTTTTAAGGTCTTTGAGGGTCGACACCTTTGGGAAAACATTTGAAGTTGCACTTTTTCCTACTGGCTTTTGGAAATGGGTGGCCTATTCCTATAATTTTAAATCTAAATATCTGGGTATACATTGTCTCAAAGACGAGGGAAAGTGGGATATGATCAGACATGCTTTGGCAAGGCTTTAAGGTCAAATTTTGAGGGCTTGATATATACGTTTCAAGTGACAATGTTGTTTTAGGTAATATCTATCCTTGAAGACTTTCGGTAGAGAAGCATTTTTCCACATGTATACCTCTGATTCATATTTCTGACTAATGTAATCCCAGGAAGTGGGTGCGGTAGAACAAGATTCATTGCATGTACATTCTTCTAAGAAAACAAACAAAAAAGAAACGAAGAAAGAAATGAGGTAGTTTTCACAGCTGTGTTGCACTTCATACTTCAGTATTCAGATTCGTAACAAAAGCGAGCAGCGTACAGTTGTCGCTGTAGCCCTCTACCATTTATATATATATATATATCTTCGGATAAATACTATTATATCTGTACTTGTTCTTCTGCAGAAGTTTCCAGTGGAAGGCAAAATGAGTCTCCCGCCAGCTTTCGGTCCCATTGATTAAACCAACGATCCACCTTTGGTTGAAGTCCAGTGCCCTGCACTAATCATAAGTGCCAGTATCCACTGAAAAGGCAGATACAAAACTTTTTTTTTTTTTTTCGTGACACACTTTCCACAGTTGGCTTTAGACAATTCAGGCCTTGTCTTTTGTGTTTTGCGCATCACTTTTCTGTAGCTTTCATTCTTTCCATGGTGGCGTACCGGACCGCATCTTTTTGTTTCTCGTTCTTGAATCGAATAGCGTGTCACACGGTCGCCCTTTCCAAAGCTGGAAGATCTGAAACATTTTCTGGTATTTCTATGGTAATGTATAGACACACTCCCTGAAGTTTCCACAGTTCCCTGAATGTCATACGCAACCGCACGCTCTCGCAGACACGTTCTGGATTGTGTAGAATCTGTCCTTGTTGTCAAAGAAAGACATTTTCTTCTCGAACTTCGTAGGCCGACAACAAGGAGTGTAGCGCGCCTTGTCTTTTTTTCCGTTTTCCCGTCCACGCCGGCCTTTTTCACTGGAGCCGTTGTTTAACTGCATGTGCTCCATTACAAAGTCATAGTTGCGTCTCTCGTGGATGCACTTCCCACTGCAGTATCTGAAGCGCACAGTCTCGTCGCTTTCGTACCCGAGCCCCAGCTCGCTCACCGTGAGCTCGACCTCGTGTAGAGAGCACGGCTTTGGGCCTTTCCGTGCTCGCTTGGTTCTCCGTCCCGTCTCGGTTCTCATCCTCCTTTCCTTTCGGTCCACCAGAGTCGCAATCACCTTCTTCAACTCGCCCTCAGTGAAGCTTTGGAAGAGGTACGAGACTAGAGGAGGAAAAACACCCAGAGGAGAATGTTAATGTTTGCTCTTCCATAATTCAAGAGACTTCTTAGGCCAGAAACATACTTTACATCAATGTATGCTTTCCAGATTTTTTGCTAATGAGCCATTAAACATACTTAACGTGCGTTTGTGTTTCTGTGGCGGAAACAAACCTCAGTTCTCAAGGGGCGATTGAGTTACCTTTGAATGTCTGTGTCATTAAACCAGAGCTAGGATAATTTACCTTCAGTTCCCTCTGGAGTTTTAGAATAGCGGTTTTGGATTTATGAGTAAAGTAAGGTTCATTACTTTCACGGTTTTTGCTCTACAACATAAATTATACACTATTAGGTTTCAAATGTGAATTTTGAAGCCACTCTTTGTCTGTTTTTTGCTAACAAGTTGCCGCAAAAAAAGTTCAATGGGGTTCTATACAGAACTATAGGGTTCTTGACTCAAATTTAATGCCAGAAAGGTTCTATATAAGAAGAAATGTCTTACTGTGATGTTTAATGGGTTATTATTTCAAATTATTTCTAATAATAAAGCATGAATGAATGAATGAATGAATGAGGCATTTATATATTGAATTGAAGCATGTTATTGAGCTGGCTATTTCATAAAATTTAATTAATTAAAACTAGTATTTGTATGTATACCAAACCAGATCCAGCACTTTATTGTAATTTTTAGTATTTTAGCATAATTGCAATGTACTTAAAGTACATAGAATAGCACTTTATTGTATATATGTGTATGTGTAACCTGTCTGAAAACAGTGGTGTCTCTTGTAATATGTTATTTGAATATTAAGGTGTCCTTTAAACTGTGTAGCATCATACTTAAATTTAAATGTTAGCTTTGTTATTTGATATTGTGATGACCTGACGGGGGACTGCAGATGTAAAGTAGCCCTGGGGCTAATTCTGGCATATTTACATTGCTGAAAAGCTAAGATGTTTATTAATATGCATTGTCCCTTTTTAAATAAATAAATTAATTAATTTATTCAAAATGATGGAAATCACTAAAAGGTTCTATATATGAAGTGCCTGACGGAACCCTTTAATGTTCTATTTAGAATGTTTTCTTTTAAGAGTGATGTAAGAACTACAACAGTAAATGGATATAGCAACTTACAAACAACTTAAGTTTTTTTAAAAATACAGCGAATTAAAAAATTCATGTTTGAGTCTGACTGTGTAATTTACAGTGTGTTGTTGTGGAACAAAATGCGAAAGTCTCTTTTTGTTAGCCTCAGAATTTATTTTACTCAAATGAAAACACAGAAAAGTCTTGAGGGAACTCATTAAAATGTCAATTCTCTTCTGGGTTTTGCCTACAAACTCAACAGCTCTATAGCGACAGTAGCGTAGCTATAAAATATGCTAACAATAACTATTAAGATTATCTTCAAATTGTTTCACCTGCAAGAAAAAGCTCACTGTAGAAGTTTGTGCTGCTAATTCCCGCTATAGTGAATCTTGTGCTTGCATAAAGTGTGTTTCAGACCTTAGTAATGTTTGCATTAAGTATCAACTTTGTCTTAGATGTTTTGACTAAAATTCCTTAGAGGTAAAAGTAGACACAAATGAAACAGTTGTTGAAATACTGTAAGAATATAGACCTTATTGAGGACGGAAAGCATATTTAATTTGACACAAATGAAAACAAGGCTGAAGGCTGTTGGGTTTAAACATGTAGTTCATTCAATAGGTTGCAATAGGCTCATCAGTAGGTCAGGGTGAAAGTGTGTTTCGAATCAGTTCTGCATTGCTGTTGAAAATTTTATATTACCGGTATATATTATATTTTACATACATTTTTATTGCAAACTCAATAGCTGGCTTACATAGAAGCAGTTAAAAATGACTGGAAAGCATCATTAAGAATGTGTTAAACTACAAACCAAACTAATGTTTCGCATTATATATCATTGTTTTTTAAGGAAAAGTGTATTTTTGAATTTATGGTTTTCTGGCCAGAAACAAAATCCTTATTGTTGAGCCCTGGACTTAATATATAGGACTTTGTATACCTTTTGTACTTTCTTTTTATTTTCATCTGTGTCTAATTACATTTTTATGGCATCTACCCTCACTGTGGTCTCTAGAACTATAAAATGAATGTAAATATGCAGAAAGTTTGGCCTTTATAGTTAAGAATTTGAAATGCTCAATATGACTCTAAAGGAGACGTGTGAGATTACACTCGACGCATCTGTTGAAGTACAGTCGGTAACTTCAGCTTCAGCTCTCCATTTAAACTCATTGCTGTCTAGGATAGGGCTGTGCAACTTATCACAATTGCAATAAAATTACAGTTCGATAGAAGCTTGAGTAATTTCTAAATTGCTAAAAGCTGCCATATAAAGTCATATTTAAACTCTTTAACATTCCCATCTGTATGCATAAGATGTTAGCCAATCAGAATTCAGCATGCTAAAAAAGGTACAGGTTGTAGCACCTTTATTAGAGAATCTGTCAATATACGCTGTTAATTTGATTTCCTTTCTGAAAAATTTTTAACAATATTTTTAAACTAATGCATTTGCTAAAATTGCAATTAAAATCACAATCAGTGTCTTATGTTGTCCATATAACAATTCAGATTTTTTTTTCTTCTTCTTCTCTGCAGTATTTCTCTGTCTGTCTTCCAGGGCTCTTAAAATAATCATAATATTAATTGAGTTACACTTAAGAACTCAATGGGCTTGACCGTCACATTCACCAGCTTTAAATCTCTATAATGATCAAGGTTGTAAAATAGGATAACGTGCATCTTTAATATGGGTTTAGAGCATTTGTGCACTGACCTTTCGATACTCTTGTCTCCCTAATTAAACACGCCTGATTTGAACTCATATGTCTTTAGAGACACCAAGACGGGTGTGTCAGATAAGAGAAAGATGCAAAATGTGTACCAGGTTGAGAAAAACTGCCTATATGTAAGATAAGAATAGGTCTGCTTTTCTTTGCAGTCAAGTCAGTCTGGATATGTTTTAGGAATATTGCTTTCGCGTGTAATTGGACACATGGTTGTATTTCAGTTAGCCTAATAGCTGCCTCATTTTTTTAATTAAAGGATTAAAGGGATACTTCACCTCTGGAAAGATGAATGTGTATTTAAAATGGGTCATTTATGTAGAAGAAATGTGAAATTATTTTTGAATTTGGAGCTTTCTAGACGGAGAAAAGCCAGAAAATGTATTTTTGGCTTATGTGGATGAAAGACAACAACTCCCAGAATGCACTTGCTTCGGGGGGGGATTCATGTATTCAGAGTTGTTTACAGTGTAAGATGGATTCTCATGCTAAACATGGCCAAAGTTTAAAAAAAATATTTTGGACGAATAACAGAGAATTTCTGTGCCGAAAATCTTACTTCCGGGTTGGTTCAAGTTTCGGCTGTTTTTTTTTTATCGTGGATCTAATGGCGTAGACGAGAGTGGAACTCCTTATATGAGCATTTCTCTCGGAAAAGCGCGCCCGTGCACACGCCGACCAGAGGAGAGCGAGACCCAGGCCCGTCGCCAAGGGGGGGCATTAGGGGGCCGTGCCCCCCCCAGATGACACATCGTGCCCCCCTAATCATATGGTCATTGAGCAAACTTACTATTGAGAGCAAAAAAACGTATCCACGTATTCCATAACGAAATGTCGTCAGCAGCATTTAGCACACAGGTGCACTAATCTCTGTGACTTTAAATAACACATTGTCTTCAGAAATATGAAAATTAGTCGGAGCGTGTAAGGCTCTGCGCAAGGCTTACCTTCCCCTGGCCAAGCGGGCTTGTTGAATTTTCTGATTCATTTGCCTGCTAAAAACAGCCTACTGTTTCCACGTAAAAAAAAAAAGGTAATTTTTCTCAGAATTGCGTGATATAAAATCAAAATGGCAAGTTATAAAGTCAGAGTTGAGTGACATACATTCACATTTGCGTGTTATAAAGTCTGAATTTTGAGAAAAACTCTGAATTGAAAGAAATCCACTTGAGAATTGTGAGATAAAAAGTCGCAATTATCTTTTAATTTTTTTTATTCTGTGGCGAAAACAAGCTTCCATATACTTCTGATTGCTTTTAGAGGGAAAAGCTGTCCATAAATGCTGGTCTAGGATCAGTTTCTCCGTAATAAAAGAATATAGGCTAAACTCCGGTGTTTTGAGCGGTGAGTGGATTAGTTCTACGCGCATGCGAAATCCTCTCGTTATAATAAGCAGTTAGGCTATGCAAATAAGGCATTATTGTGTATCAGCTTTACTGATAGCCTAGGAACTTTGTGAGATCGCGATGAAGTTGTATGACCGCTTTTTAAAGATAATAAAATAGGCGCTCTTTGCGAGCTTTCTGCCATGCCAAATCCTGCATATAGCCTAGTAAATGTTTTTAAAGGGGAAGCGCATCCTCATGGTGTTGGTTCACCCTCCGCCTATGATCAGAAACTTAATATATAATAATATTATAATATCTATCACCTATAAATATTATAATTAATATTTTGTGTTTTGGTGTTGTTTAAATATAGAATTTGGTCTATTTCAGTTATATTAGACTAAATAGAGGATGTTATTGTTTTTGTGACTGTCTGTTTTTTTAGATCATAAAAATGCCCCCCCATTCTATATGTTCTGGCGACGGCCCTGGCGAGACCGCGCACATCAACGCGCTTCAACAGGAAATCATCGGCAGCGCTGCATAGGATTTGTTCAAGAATGTCTTTGAATACATTTGTTTAGCTGGCCACTGCAGGTGTCTGTTTGTTTATTATAAAACCAAATCATGTCCTCATAAACCACGAGTAAACACACAAATGTTGTAAGTTATAACTCGCGCATGACATGGTGTGCTAAAAACACTGCGCTCAAGTTCAAATCATTTCTACTTTTACCACTTCGGTACTTTCCTGTTATCCGGACCCCACCTCAAAAAACAGTAAAATTTAATTTTTTGCAATAGTTTATTCAAGTCATGTAGTATTGGTAGTAATAAGGCGGAAGTTGAAAACAGTGATTTTGTATGGAGGACCAACTCTACCATATTTAAAAATAAATACAGAAATAAATAAATGCTCAATAAATAAATAAGCATACAATTAATTGCCCCAAAAAATACAATAAACAAATAAATGTAGGTAGAAATTAAATTATACAGTGAGGCATAAATGTATATACCTCTTTTAATTAGCTTCTTTATTTATTTACCTTTGTAATAATTACCTTATTTATTTATTGTCCGTTATAATCTTCAACTTTATTTATTAATTACTTATTTTTTGAAGTATTTATTTATGTGCATGTTATAATATTTTTGTCTGTTTTATTCTTCCTTTGTATTTTTTTACCCTATTTATTTCTTCAATGCTATTTATTTCTGCCTGTCGTTTTTACATTTCTGTATGCATTTCTGCCTCATTATGCAAATGAGGAGGGGCTGTGTCTTAAGGGGTCAACTTCTGCCCATTGGTTGGTTAGCATTTTACTGCATCGGTCGAATCTACATGCCACCGGCTGCGATTTTTTATTTTTATTTTTTTGCAGGGTGGTAGGGGAAGACTCATTAATATTCATTAGGGAACTCATCCCTGATTGTCAATTTAAAAGATACATTTTAAAGTCAAGAAAGTCGCAGTTTGATGTAAAACTGTTGAGGTATAAGACTGTGAAAATACGTAATTAAAAAGACTACAAACCCCAAAGGCGCACATTTTCTCTCAATGAATGAAGCTAACTTTACTGAAGCTAACGTCTGTCATTTGTTCTATAGTCTTACGTTATAATCGTAACGTTACGCCGTCACGCCTGAGTGTTTTGTACCAGACTGCACACACAGGGCCGCATTAAGAGCTCACTGGGCCCCGGGGCTATGAGTTACTGCAGGGCCCCCCACCACTACAGGTCACCAACTACATGAGCTAAATGTTCTATCATTATACGAGTCATTTTATCAATCTATGATATATTTCACAGTTAAGTTATATTACTTTTAAAACGATTTTTTATCATATCAAAATTTAATGGCACTAACATTTCATAATTCTTGTGACCAATTTCAATATCACAAAAAATAATAGTAACTTAAGAAAAGAATCTCAAGCTTACCTATGACAAGAGTAACAACAATTAACAATAGAACAAAGGCACATAAGAAATCGACCTTGAAAAACTTAAAGCACTGAATAATATTATATTGTATAAAGCAGTGGTTCTCAACCTCTCCTGCAGGGACCCCCTGACACACCATGTTTCTGTTTTAACCCTGAAATGGCACACCTGATTCAATTAATTGAAGGCTTAATGAGTAGTTGACTAATTGATCAATTAACTAATTCCTACTTCCTACTCTAATAATGACTCATTAAGCCTTTAATTAATTGAATCAGGTGTGCCATTTCAGGGTTAAAACAGAAACATGGTGTGTCAGGGGGTCCCTGCAGGAGAGGTTGAGAACCACTGGTATAAAGTAATCAAATATACAATACATAGTTTTCACTATAAATTCAACATTCATTCTTATTAATTTTACAAAAGTGATTCATTCAAGGGCAGTAAATTACTTTCTTTCTGATGTTTGATTAACATTATGGACACAAATGGCGACAGCAGCTTTATTAGCAGCTACTGTCACTTTAAGACCTCAGGGTCGGAACTCAAGTGCGCTGTGCAAAACCGCCTCAAGTTCACCATCATTTAAAATAATTTGTATCCAAACCACAATGATTAAAAGCGCGTTTAATTTATAAACTTACATCATGATGTCTCAGCAAAATTTACATATTTCTACCGGATATATTATCGCCAGCCCTTTAAGCGAATATAGAGTTTGATCAAACACAAAAAGCAAGATCAAACATCCATCAAGTTAATAATCAAACTTACCGAAAATTTGTGGGGTCGAGGATGACGCTGTGTTTTAAAAAATAGTCTAGACTCTAGAATGAAGTGAAGGGTGGAGGCGATTTATTGGTTGATGCGTAGCTATATACTAATAAGGCGCAGGCACTCCAGGCAGCCATCTATAGGCCTATGTGCAGCAGCAGGTCGATCGTTCACAAGTTAAATACATAGAGGTTAAATATAGAATAAATATATTATGTTAAATTAAAACGTGACGTTTCATCTCACCATGCCCTGTCCTGCTGCCCACGGGGGTTTGATTGACAGGCGACCTGGCCAATCATAACGCCGAATATGCAATTTTGTCCGACAACAAAGCTGTCAGTAAAAAAACGTCGGTGGACTTGAACTTGAAAACGGTATTGTTTAAATTATTAAAATTACAATATTTGAAAGTTGAGACTTTTTTTCATATCAACAGTAAACTGCTCTGAACTCTCTCTCGTAGTCACTCGGTGTAACGTTAGTCTTTGCCCCGCGATGTATTTTTCAGTGCCTGAGTGAGAACATGATGTGCGTGACTCGTGAGAGCCGCCTGGCTTGTCACACAGTAACTAAAAAAGGCGGGTCTTTGCGAACGGTCACTATAATATTAAAGATAATGATTCCATATAATGCATGGAATATTCGGCAAAGCGCTACTAAATAACAGGGCTAATTTTTGGGGGGCGTTGCGTGGTAAGGCTTTGGCAATTAGATGGCTAGTAGTATCTGCTCCACAGCCAATCAAGGGCCCCCTCCTTGTTCGGGCCCCGGGGCTTTAGCCCCGCCTAGCCCTATTGTTAATGCGGCCGTGTGCACACACACGAGCAGCGGATCTCGCTCGTTGTTTCGCTTCCCGGGAGAGGTAGTTCATTGAGCGATTTTCACATAAAACTAAATGTTACTCTTCTGTTTTATGACAAACTGCGACTTTCTTGACTTTCATAATTATCTTTTAAATTGACAAACATCATATGTGTAATTCAGGGCACAGTTCAGACGGAATAAAAAGATAAAGTTGTCTCTCGCCATTGACAGACAACCGTACATATTTTTTCCTAAATAAGGTCCCCATGAGCCGGAAGCGGAGGGGAGGGGCGTTGACCCCTTAAGACACAGCCCCTCCTCATTTGCATAATGAGGCAGAAATGCATACAGAAATGTAAAAACGACAGGCAGAAATAAATAGCATTGAAGAAATAAATAGGGTAAAAAAATACAAAGGAAGAATAAAACAGACAAAAATATTATAACATGCACATAAATAAATACTTCAAAAAATAAGTAATTAATAAATAAAGTTGAAGATTATAACGGACAATAAATAAATAAGGTAATTATTACAAAGGTAAATAAATAAAGAAGCTAATTAAAAGAGGTATATACATTTATGCCTCACTGTATAATTTAATTTCTACCTACATTTATTTGTTTATTGTATTTTTTGGGGCAATTAATTGTATGCTTATTTATTTATTGAGCATTTATTTATTTCTGTATTTATTTTTAAATATGGTAGAGTTGGTCCTCCATAATTTTGGCGCGTATTTGAAATTTTATATGGTGTGGTCCGGATAACAGGAAAGTATCAAACTACACTTCCCACATGTACACCTTTTAAAGAAAAAAAAAATACGACGACATAAAGTGAAAATTAGTCGTTTACAAAAAACGCTAAGCAAATATAAGTTACACAGTTCCAGTAGACGTCCTGCTGTAGTCGTTGTTGCTGCTGCTCGTCTTCAATTTCAGCCTCGGGATCTGATTCGGGATCAGAAATGTATGGCTGAATCTGATTGTTAGCCATGGTTTGTTTTGGGATGTCACAGCTTCCAGACGCTCTCAACGCAAAACCTTCAGGCGCTCGTGATTATTTAGCTCCGGCCACACGGCACGCCTCCACCCGCTCGTTTTTTGCCAGAAAAACTCGGTACAACCTATCTTTCTTTTATAAATATAATAAAACTAAAGACTTTTTGGAGATATGAAGGATGCGATACTACTCTATAGGTACTCAAGATTAACATGAGATTGACTGAGTGTTTCACTTCCCCTTTAAATATCAAGTGAGCTGACAGACGCTGTGTGTGTGGTAACTGTGAACTGATGATATACGAGGTTTTGTGTGACTGAGCGTGTAGTATAAACACAACCGCGACTGAAGAATGACTTTAAATCCTTCCCGTCATGTCTACGTCAACGGCACCTAATCCACACTAGCGCTGTCGCTATATAAGGAAAACCAAAAAAGGTTTCTCTTACACTCGGAGAGAAAGGAGCCCATGTCCTCCGTGGCTCGGACCGCTCGTCGCGGCGCTGGCTTCCTCGCTGAGGTTGATGATCCTGAAGAAGAGGATGATGATGATGGTGGGGATTCAAGTGCTGAGGCTGGTGGATGTGAGGAAGGGCCTGAAGAAATCTCTAAGGCCTTTGGGTAGGAGGGCCCGACAGGTAACGTGGTTCTCATAAGCAGGAGGAAAAACGAGGCACCAAACAGGATGAAGGCGATGACCTCTTTCCATACCCTCATCTTAGAGCAGCGTGGAGCATTGAAACTCTGAAAAACAGATGTTAAAACAGGCTCATTATTAGGCAACTCATCTCACTCATGTTGTTTAAGTATCATTGAGATATTATAGTTTTTATGAATGTTTTGGATTTTATATATACAGTAGTCAACATTTAAAGTTGAGCAAAACCTTTCATCAAAGTTATACATGAATTTTGAACAACACCAGTTCTTGTGTTAGGACAACTTTGATTCACTTTTTTTGATTCACTTCAAATGCTGACTACTGTATATATATATATATATATATATATATATATATATATTCTGTTTTAATATAATTTTTTGTCTTCTTCTTTTTTGGTAACTATAATAACCATGGCTCAGACTGGCAGATCCATCTTTGAAATATGTGGCTTTCTTAACATTTATTGACAGCTTTCAATGAACTGTAAAAGTGTTCCTGAGTATAGTGTACAAAAAAATGCATGGTATTAAAGGAATAGTTCGCACAGTTTGTCATCTTGTCATTTTGTCTTATAATGTCAAAGCCTTTGCATGCAACAAAAGTGGATGGTGATTTATACTTATAAAAACAACATAAAAACACTGTAAGAGTAGTTTGTATGATATATACTCCAAGTCTTCTAAATTCACACTGATATTTAACTACAGTATGGCAGAATGCATATGTATAGATTGGTATTGGATATTTAATAGTGCAATAGTCAGGGCTCGACATAAGCAATGGCCCGATGGCCCGGGGCCAGTAAAAGTGTATGTCGGGCTAGTTGATTGGCCAGTCACTTGCCCGCGCGGGCCAGTAACTGGCCATCAGCAAAACAAACAGCAAACGTCATACACAGTGGCGCGAAGAGTGTCAATGTTTCTTCAGGTTATTTATAACGTGTTAAAATGTCAAAGAACTACGAGGCTAATACGAGAAAGAGTACCGAAACCCTGTATTAAACGGGACTGAATTTTGAAAGACCGCGCTGTATCGATAAGCTCGGACGTTATCGGTTCTGCTGTCGGTACTGGAGAAATACACGTAGGCTATGATTTATTATTGCTATAAATACTTTCTTTTTTTTTTTACCATCTCGCTGAGTCGCCAGCCATTTCTATAATAAAATAAAATTTGTCTGTGATGCATTTTTGCTATTCGCGCAGTCCAGAAGAGAGAGAGATCTCACGCGGTGCCACAACACGCACAACACCTGACGGAGGACAGAACTAAACATTCAAGTTATGGTTACACTTTAGATATGTGATATTAGTATGATTTTATTTTAGATATTGGCTTCCAAAGATTATAGAATATATTTGAGGTAAAACCATTAAAAACTGCATTCTGTCTAGCGCAACTTCCTTCCCTTCGCAGCAGTACGCTGTCATTTCTCCTTAAAACTCAAACTTTAAGACAGAATCAGCACGATCGGTGATTGTTGTAAAATGCAGTCTCGTCTGTTGCTAAATTGCGGGACGCGTTTAATAATAAAAAGAGCTATTAAAAGCACAAAAATCTGCGCAAGAGATGCGGTTCCCAATGCAGCGCGCGCTCCGAAACATACCGTAACGAGACAAGCAAATTATACTTTGGGCTTCATGTGCGCGTCTAAACGATCAAATGTACACAAAAATGTGTCAAAATGACTGGCTTGGAGATTCACTTAAACAGTTTATGTCTAAAATGGACGCAGTTATGGAAATAGTTGGGAGAAAATATGGTGCATCAGTAGACTATTAGATCTGCACTCGTTCTTAAAGGGGAAGCAGTCTAATAAACATGCTGACGATCACGCCATTACTGAGAATCAAACAACAAAAGGCACAAAGAAAATCACTCGCAGCTCTCTTGAATGAATAACTTTAGCTTTAATAAGTAAGATGAGGAGACTGAGAAAAAAAGAGAGAGGGAGATGAGGAGATTCTGCGCAAGTAAATTGTAACTGGTGTGCCGTCTTGGCCAGGTCTCCCTCGGAAAAGAGATTTCAGTCTCAAGGGACTTCCTGGTTAAATAAAGGTTAAATAAAAAAATAAAATAAAAATAAAAAAAGGAGAAAGCAGGTATTGACAAATTTACTGCACACTGACATTTGGTTATTTTTGCATGTGTCCAGGGGCTCTCTCTTAATTCCTGAACTCCCTTCGCTGTTTTGATTAATCCTAATGTATACAATAAATAGAGTTTATTTCTTTCAGGGCCAGTCAAAATATAGAAGGGGCCAGCAAAACTCTGATCTACTGGCCCCGGGGGCCAGTGGGGATTTTTTTTTATGTTGAGCCCTGCAATAGTCATTTAATGCTCATTTAAATTTAATCTTTAAAATTACTACATTTAATAATAAGTATTAAATGTTATCTTTAGCAAATCTTAAAATTAATATGTAGTTATTTCTAAATTTGCTTGTACCATTTACTTTTTTTGTATTGTTTTATTTTTTCATTTAGACAAAACAGTATAGAATTTGTTTAAATAGATGGAATATTTATCAGTATATTTAAGTCATTATTAACTTATAATCTTCCACTTCTCAGTATTGCTGAAATCTATTTTGCTTTGTTTTGTACGGGTTGCATCACTATCAGTCATGTGACCCAAAACAAAGGGCGTTTGGCAGCAAACGGACTATTTTTTTTACCGCTTTTTATTTTCATTTTCACAACATGGCAATATAAATAACACTCCATGTTTCTTTTCTGTGTTAAAGATATAAAAAGGGTTAGAATGACAGCTAATGATAACTGAATTTTTGGGTGAACTATTCCTTTTAGGGACTTAACCTTTTGTATATTGGCTTCAACCGCATACTTGGCATAGACAGAGAGTGTTTTTAATAACCCCTAATTATACTATAATAATGCAATCTAAAGAATTACTGTTCAGTTTTGAATGGTTTGAGATCATCTTATTTGTGCGGTGTATGAATAGAGGTTCTCTCTTTCAAGTCATGAACGTTTCTATGCATTGTGTCCTTTTCCCAATTGATTCCTCATCTTTATGAAGGCGTGTCCTTCATAACATCCACCTGGGTGGAGATCCGACATCATTGTACACAAGCAAGTCCAAACAATTAGTCTTACGTTTCCTGAGGGGGAATCTTTGTTTGTCGAGACGATCCATTCAATGCAGGCAGATTTGTGATGGTAAACAAACCTTCAGTAGTTGTTGAAACTACACAGGGTGAGATGGATCTAGTTTTTGAGCCGTGCATTTTTTTGCATAAGGTGATAACAACGATGAAGTGCTTTTCTTCAAAGTTTTTGATGTGGGCCTGCTGGTAGAACGTTCTCCACCAGATATATCTGTTGGGTTTTGTTTGTTTGTTTAGCTATGCACAGATCTATTGAGCAATCATACATCTATGCCTGCATGCATGCATGTGTGCACATACTTTCCCTTCATTCTCTCAAAAAAAAGACTGCATTCTTTTCCTGCTGGGAATCTCTTTCAAACACTGTTGTTTTTGCAGTTGAACATACTGATTGAAAAGTCTTATTTTTTTTTTTCCCACTTTGTTATTACAAGTTACTGTTTTCTCCAGAGTAGGAGGAAGCGGGAAAACTCTTCCCCAGATCAGGAAATGGCAGATGAGTAACATTTAAGGACAAATCCAGACAGTATATGCTGGAAGTGTTTCGCCAGATTGACAGTATGGTGGTCTTATTGGGTTAATGGGGGTTTGTCTCCCAAGTCTAGAGTTAATGTGTGTGTCTAAGGTATAGAAATGGTGTAATTGTTTTTTTTTTATATAAATATTGAGCACAAAAATTTTCACACAAAAGTGAGTGATTCTCACTTCATCAGAGTGATTCATGCCTGGCTCATACTTTACACTAAATTCAAAAGAAGGAAATAGGTATAATCCTAATTATGCTGCGCAAGATGACGCTATGACAAAATTAATTATCTAATATGAATATAGAGGAAGCTTATTTTTAAGACATTTTAAGACCTTTTTTTATTCCCCCTCCCCCAATTTTTTTATAATTCTACAAAGACATTCACATTATTGTGACGCAGAATGCAGTGATATTTTTTCTTTTTTTAAGTATTTCTATATTATATAAATGAAAATGTAATGAGAATCATCATTAAAAATAGAAATGAAAATGAAAAAATGAGAATTTGGCATAATAACAAAAAATAATGTCATAAAGTAAAAAATACCCTATAAATAGGTTTCATGTTCTTTCTAAATTTTGTAGCAAAAAAAAAAAAACCTGTCTAAATGAGTAAACGCAAGCTATTATCATCTTTAACAGTGATGGGAATAACGGTGTTATAAATAAACGGCGTTACTAATGTTTCAGTAACGAGTAATCAAATGAATTACTGTTTCCCCCGTTACAACGCCATTACCCTTACTCACAATACAATGCGGCGTTATATAGCCTAATTGAGCTCACTGAAGCGTTTTTCATCCGAGTAGGCTCTCTTCCCGCCATGGGACCTGCAAAGTTTTTTCTCTGGTGTGTGTGTGTGTGTGTGTGTGTGTTTATGAGGCGCCTGACTTGACAAAAGCGAAGCGAACACCGCGAGCGTGCTCAGCTATGCGTGTGAGAGACCGAGTGTGTCCGAGCATTATATAGTTTGTTTATAAATAAATTACAAATTCCAGCATTCGAATAATCTCTGTAGCGTCATCTGCTACGTTTTAATTAATTTACATGGTTATACAAATAAAATCTAAGACTACGTCCACATTAATCCGTATACATTTGAAAGCGGCGTTTTCGTTTAAAAACGCTCTCCGTCCACACTAGCGTTTTCAGGCGTTTTCCGACGTTTCAGTGTGGATGAGAAACTTCTAAATTCACCTTACAGCGCATGCGTGAAACCTCACAAAAGCTCACCGAGATGGAAAAATAAACATTAAAGTTATCGCGCAATTCTTCTAACAGGATAATTTTATTTAGCAAAATATCTCACCATCACTGATGGGTCCAGGTCGCACTCAGTCACCATATGTTCGGTCTACAAAATGCGACTGCTCTCCTGTATTGCCGCAGGACAGCAAATGTGAGTACATTTTCTGTCATCT